TCAAATTTTCTCTTTGTTGGGCACATTCTTAAATGTTTGTGTATATGTGTATATGTTCATATATATATATTTATAACTATTTACATATTCTATATTGATTTCTTAAATAACCTAGTCAATATATTTTCCGAGTATTTTTACAAGTAATCCCAAGTAAACCTTAATGTTTATATCTGCGTAAATAAAAAAAATTTGCAACGATCAACATTGCCCGGACTTCTTGGAAAAGCAATTTGCAATTGAAATTCTGCTTTGATGATGATGAAGACAAATACACAAATACACAAATACACAAATACAGAAAACACACAAAGTAGACAAAACATAGTAAACTTGTCCAGTTGACTTCTGGGCCTGGGCCTTGTCACCTCTCTGGCTTCCTTTCACATGTCCTTATGCTTTTGACGGCCCCGAATGCTAATGAGCTAGCCAAGCAGCTTTCTCTCTCTCTCTCTCTCTCTCTCTCTCTCTCAACCGTCTCACATGTATATAAATATAAATTTCATTCCTTCTCTCTCTCTCTTATTCTCTTACGGCTGTCTTCCTTGTGTCCTTCGTCGACAGTTTTTACTGAGGCGAACAAATTTATTGCATACTTCCTGTTCTTAAAAGCAAAGGCCTCACGACTTTATACATTGAATGTATATGTATGCTCGTATGTATGTGTGTATTCAATTACATGGAATATCAGCTGGCTATTGTTTGTTATTGCATACATCGATCGACGCGATGGCAACTGACACGGTTGATTAACGAGTTTCAGTTTGGAGTCCTGCGCAACATTTTTCCACTGATTCGCATCTAGCGGACTTTAGCCCATTCTTCCTTCAGCCCCTGCCTTGCTCGGTGGTGGCGTCATGCTGGCGCCATACAGCAACAAAATACATCAACAACAACAGCGAAATGCCCGAGGAAAATTACAACAATTAAAAGAGAGACAGACAAGTATAGTTGAAAGGCTTGCAGTCGAGCACTGAGTGTGTGTGTGTGTGTGTGTGTGTGTGTGGAGGAGGGGCGGATGAGAGGACTTTAGCTGCATGAATGCAAATGACAACGAAGGCAACTGCAACTCGGTGGGTTATTAACGACGAAGCCCCGAAGTGGATCCAACCACTTTGGCGCACAGCTTGTGAGGCTAATAGTTTTTATATAACATTAATAAATAATAAATACTGAATAATAAATAATAA